CATCAAGACAAAAAGTCAACAGGTAGATCTGGAACGTCAATGTGACGCTTGACCAAATGGACCTAACTGTTACCTACAGAACACTCCACCCAACAACCACAGAATATACATTCTTCTCATCACCACATGGAACTTACTCTAAGATCAACCACATCCGAGGCCTAAATCAAGCATAAACAAATTCCATAAGATTGAAATTATGCCATGCACCTTCTCAGACCACAGTGGAATAAAAATAAATATCAACACCAACAAAGTTCCCCCAAAACCCACAAAGACATGGACACGAAGCAGCATGATACTAAACAACTCCTGGGTCAACATAGAAATCAAGACAGAGATTAAAAGATACCTGGAAACAAATGAAAATGAAGAAACATCTTACCAAAATCTCTGGGATCATGAAAGCAGTCCTCAGAGGGGAATTCATAGCTCTGCAAACACACATGAAGAAAATGGAAAGATCACAAGTTAATAGCCTAACAAATCACCCAAGGAAGCTGGAAAAGCGAGACCACTAAAACCCTAACTTCAGCAGAAGAATCCAGATCACCAAGATAAAAGCCAAAAATCGGGACATAGAAGACAATATATAATTTTTTTTAAAAGCCCAATGAAACCAAAAGCTGATTTTTTGAAAGGATAAATATGATTTATGGACCCCTAGCTAGACTGACCAAAAAAAGAGGGAAACAACCCAAATAAACACAATCAGAAATGCAAAAGATGAAGTCACAACTGACCCTGAAGAAATACAAAAGATTATCAGAGATTACTAAGTACACCTCGGTGGAAACAAACTCAAAAACCTAAATAAAATGGAGGACTTTCTGACATCTCACAACCTCCCCAGGTTGAAACAAGAAGAAATCGAGACCCTAAATAGGCCAATAACAACCCAGGAAATCGACTATGTCATAAGAAAACTACCTACAAAAAAGCGCCCTGGACCAGATGGCTTTCCAGCAGAATTCTACAAAACATACAAGGAGGAGCTGATACCAATCTTACTGAAAGTATTCTGGGCAATCAAGAAAGATGGTACTTTCCCCAAATCATTTTATGAAACTAACATCACATTGATACCCAAACTGGGTAAAGATCCAACAAAGAAAGAGAACTGCAGGCCAATAGCCTTGATGAACATAGATGCTAAAATTCTCAACAAGATTCTAGCAAACTGGATCCAACAACACATCTCAAAAACCATCCACCATGGTAGGCTTCATCCCCAGGATGCAGGGCTGGTTCAGCATCCGCAAGACCATAAACATAACTAAATACATCAACAGATGTAGAGACAAAAACCACATGATTGTATCATTAGACGTGGAAAAAACTTTTGATAAAATGCAGCACCCCTTCTTAATAAGAATTCTCAAACATCTAGGCATAGATGGAACATACCTCAAAATAGTGAGAGCCATCTATGAAAAACCCACAGCCATATACTGCTAAACAGACAGAAATTGTAACCATTTCCCTTAAAAACCGGAATAAGATAAGGATGCCCACTCTCCCTCCTCCTGTTCAACATAGTATTGGAAATCCTAGCTAGAACAACCAGACAAGAGAAGGAAATCAGGGGTATCCAAATAGGAAAAGAGGAAGTTATCCTTCTTTGCAGACAACATGATTCTATATCTCAAAAAACCAAGAGAATCTGTCAGAAACCTCCTTGCACTGATAAAGGACTTTGGCAGAGTCTCAGTGTATAAAATAAATGTTCAAAAATAAATCACATTTCTATACAACAACAATAAACAAACAAACCCAAATTAAAAGCACAATCCCTTTCACAATAGCCACACAAAAAAATGAAATACTATGGCATCTTCCTAACCAGAGAAGTCAAAGACCTTTACAATGAAAACTGCAAAACACTGCTCAAAGAAATCAAAGATGATGCAAACAAATGGAAAAATATTCCATGCTCATGGATTGGAAGAATCAACATTGTTAAGATGTTCATTCTACCCAAGGCAATCTGCAGATTTAATGCAATATCCATTAAATTAACAGCAGCATTCTTCTTGGACCTGGAAATGACAATACAGGAATTCATATGGAAACATAAACAACCACAGATAGCCAAAACTATCCTCAGCAAAAAAAAAAGCAGGAGGCATCACGCATCACACTCCCAGACTTTAATCTTTATTATAAAACTACAATAATCAAAACAGCCTGGTATTGGTACAAGAACAGGCATATAGACCAATAGAACAGGATAGCGGTTGTAGAAGCTAAGCCTCAATTTCTCAACCAACTCATCTTCAACAAAGCCTCCGCCATCAACCACTGAGGAGAGGAGAACCTATTCGGTAAATGGTGCTGGGAAAATTGGCTGACCACATGGAGAAGAATGAAACAGAACCCCTACCTATCCCCATACACAAAAATCAATTCTAAATGGATCAAAGACCTAAACGTAAAACCTCAAACTATAAGAAAATGCAGGAGACACCCTTATGGAAATTGGAACTGGCAGCCAATTCCTGATCAAAACCCCAAGTACTCATGCAATAAGAGATAAGATAAACAAGTGGGACCTCATCAAACTGACAAGCTTCTGCAAAACCAATAAACCATTAAGAGTGGGGAGACAGCCCACAGACTGGGAAGAAATATTTGCCAACTATATTTCTAACAAAGGCCTAACATCTAGGAGCTACAAGAAACTCAAACATGCCAAAAGGAAAAAACAAACAGCCCCATTACAAAGTGGGCAAAAGATATGAATAGACACTTCTCAAAAGAAGACATGAGAGCAGCCAGCAGATACATGACGAAATGCTCAGCCTCACTAGTCATCAAAGAAATGCAAATTAAAACCACACTGAGATACCACCTAACTCCAGATCCAGATCCTGGAGAGGATACAGGGAAAAAGGAACTCTTCTACACTGCTGGTGGAAATGTAAACTAGTACAGCCTCTGTGGAAAACAGTGTGGTAATTCCTAAAAGATCTAAAAATCGACCCTCCCGTATGACCCACAATCCTCTTACTTGGAATATACCCAGAGGAACTCATCACTATGAAAAAGATACCTGCACATGCATGTTTATTGCAGCATTAATTATAATAGCAGAAACATGGAACCAACCGTGCTGCCCATCGAAAGAGGACTGGATAAAAAAATGTGGTATATATACATGCTATATACATGCTGGAATATTATGCAGCCGTAAAGAAGCAAAATTACGCTGGGCTCGGTGGCTCAGCCTGTAATCCCACGCTTTGGGAGGCTGAGGTGAGTGGGTTGCCTGATTCCGCAAGTTTGAGACCCGCCTGGGCAACTTGGCGAGACCTCATCTCTACAATAAAAAATAAAAAATTAGCCGAGTGTGGTAGCGCACGCCTGTAGTTCCAGCTACCTGGAAGGCTGAGGCGGAAGGATCGCCGGAGCCCAGCAGGTCGAGACTGTGGTGGCCGGGAGCGGCCACTGCACTCCAGTCTGGGTGACAAAGTGAGACTCCAACTCAAAACAAAACAAAGAAGCAAAATTATGAACTTCGCAGCAACTTGAATGGACTAAGAGGCTATAATACTGAGTGATCTGTCACAGAAACGAAGAACCGAGTATCACATGTTCTTATTCATAAGCAGCCCTTGAACAGCTAGCATAATACTGTAAGAAAGGGATTGGCAGTAGTGGAAAACTGCCAAGGGAGGGGCACACCTCATCAACAAGGGTACCTGCATAATGGACATTTGTATACCTAACTCCGAATTGTACCCCACATATTTAAAATTTTTTAAATTTTTTTAGTTGGTATGAAAAAGATGGACAATGAATACAATGAAAATGAATAAAATATGTGACAGATACTGTCATAGGAGGGAAATACAAATAGCCAATAAACACACAAAAAGACTATAGAAAAAAGAAGGAAAAAAAGGTCTGAAATATATGGTGATCACTTCACAACTTTGTGGCTGTTCCAAAAAACACTGAATTGTACACTTTAATGAGCAAACTTTATGGTGCATGAATTAAATCTCAATAAAGTTGTTTTTTGGTGTGTTTTTTTTTTTAAGATGCCCTGTGAGTGATTTGGGCAGAGTGAGTGAGGATTCCTGCCACCTCTGTCATTTCCACAGTGCTGTCGGGGTCAGCTGTATTAGAAAAGAAGAGCAGGGAAACCCCAAGGAGAGTGCAAATACACTACCTCAGGACCATCCAAGCATTCTGTCCGCCCTCTCCTTCTCAGCACTGGGTGCTTTATAGAAGAGCACATGCGCGGGAGTGGGCTGGAAGGAGTGGTGGTATGTGCTCTTCGGTGTGTTTTCCACTGGGACACGTGTCTATGTTTGTGCTTCTGCTTATAAAGCCACTTCAGGGCTTTGGAAATTTTCAGAGTTCCTCCTTAAAAGAGCTTCCTTGACTGCAATGAGGAAGAAAAAATATTTGATTTCAAAATATTCAGTAGAAATTAAAACACTTTGTAACATTTTATCAGTCCTTACTGTCTTTAATGTGTGCATATTTTTTTCTCAAGTAACATTAGGATTGAAGTTTGGTTTTTGCCTCTTGTGGGTCTGTCAGCTTCATTAACCTTTGCTTCTCTTTGACTTGTGTAAAGAGAAGTCCTTAACTGGCCCAAGTAGACCCCAGGTGCATTTTATCTATTAGGATAATGAGTAGAAGTTTGTTTTGTAAAAAAAAATTCATAGTGCCTAGCAGGGTCTTCCACACCAAAGATGTTCACTAAGTGGTTTGGGATTAGATGGAAGGGTGGACAGTAAATGGGCCTTTCTGTAACAAGCCAAGTTTTATTTGTGCATATTTGCTTGTTTTCTGCCAATCCATGGCCCTTGATTGGAGATTTTCCCTGATCTTGTCATATACAGATCTCTCCACACACACACACACACACACACACACACACACACACACACACACACAGTTTTTTGGCTTTTACAATTGTTTCTATCTATAATTGGTTCTCATTCCTCTGTGTACTCATCATCCTGGCTCTGTCCCTTTCTCTACAGGTACCAAAGGCTTAGAATGTTCTCCTTCCACTCCCACCATGAACTCCTACTTCTATAAGTTCATGATCAACCTTCTCAAGAGGTTCAGCAGTGAACGGAAGCTCCTGGAGGTCAGAGGCCCTTTCATCATCAGGTCAGCCTCAGTGTGCATTCTCCTCCTCACACAGCCTCGACTTCTCATTCTCACAGCATACAAGGTGTCAAAGCAGCCACTTTCTCTGTCCCTTCTCTCTCCTCTTTCTCCTGTCCTTTGGGTTTGTTCTTAAAAAAAAACAAGGAAGGTTGTCCCTTATGCCCGGTTATTGGTACTTTTGACATGAGGCAGGTCAGTGTTGTCTTTTTTTTTTTTGAGTCAGAGTCTCACTGTCGCCCAGGCTGGAGTGCAGTGGCATGTTCACAACCACTGCAGCCTCAACCTGCTGGGCTCAGGAGATCCTTCCATCTCAGCCTTTCAAGTAGCTGGAACTGCAGGTGTGCACCACCACACCTGGCTAATTTTTTTTTTTATCTGTTGTGGAGACAAGGTCTCACCAAGTTGCCCAGACTGGTCTCGAACCCATGAGCTCAGGCAGTCCTCTCACTTCCACCTCCCAAACTGCTGGGATTACGGACATGAGCCACTGCACCTGGCTGTCTTTTTTCTTTCCTTCGAGGTGGATTATCCCCTCATTAAATGCCATTGTCAGTCTTCCAGAGAGGAAAGGAAGTGTGCCAGATGGTGTATGGCACAGAGCTGTGTCCTGGAGCTCAGCTACCAACCAGTGCAGAAATTGACCAGGCTTGGTGGGACCATGTTCTTGAGTCCTGTGAGCCTAACCCTGAACAGTACCAGGGCAACAGCCCCAGCCTCAAAGACTCTAGAAATGTAGCAGCATGACTGAGACTGGCCCTTTACTTCCAACTCAGTTCCAAGAGCAGGGTCAACAGAAGTGTGGCCCAGTGTCATGCTCAGCCTAGTGAAAGCTAGACCAGGGGCAAAAGTTTCTTCTGGCTCCCCACCGAAGCCAGATGGGGAGATTTCTGGAATAGCTCAAGTGGTCCCAGATTCTCTACAGCATGGTTCTCAGCCCTGCATTGCTAGATCACTGAAGAGACTGAGAGAAGATTCCCGGGCCTCCCTCTGACCAGTGAAATCAGAACCTCTGGGATGATAGGGTTATTGAAGTTGTCAGGGTATGTAGGGAACATGCCACACTAGGGGTGGGAGTTGAAGGAGTTCTGGCAGAGGGCCCAACCTATATGGAGCATCAAGGCAGGAGAGAGTATGAAGAGCTCGTTTTTCTGTAAATCAGAAAGCAGGTTCAGCCTGTGGGCTACACTAAGGATGGGGGACCTTACCCAGAGGTCAATGGAGAGCTGCTGCAAGGGCTTGAGCCAGGGAACAACGTGACCAGGTTTCTGATGTGAAAGATGACTGTTGCTGGGGAGAGTGGGGTAGAGGGGCCGAGATGGAGACCAGTGGGGGACTGTTGTCCAAGTAGAGACTGTGGCAGCTTGCAAGGGGGATGGGAAGAAGCAGCTGGTCTCCTGACTGAGTTGGAAGTAGGGCTGATTGGTGACTGATGGCGTTGAAGAGTGAGGGGAGAGACAGCTAGGAATGACACCCAGGCCTCTGGTTTGGGCAGCTGGATGGGTGGTTGTGCCAGTCCCCAGGGTAGGAACCCCAGAAGAATGGCAGGGAGTGAGGAAGCTCATACGTTTGAATTTGAATTGCCTTCAAGACATCAAAGGGAAAATATTGAAGTAGTTTGCTGTACCTTTTGAGAGACTCTCAAAAGGGAGACCTAAGCCCAAGCAAATCTGGAAATTGATGGCATAATCATTCATTTGTTCATTCATTCATTCAACAGATATTTAGTCAACACTGACTCTGCAAGGTATCATTCTAGATGGTTCTGCCATTATAGAGCTTTCATTCTTAGAGAGTAAGAGGGGGCGAATTGAGAAGGGAAGAGGTCTGAGGCTGAGCCCTAAGAGCTCCAGTCTGTAAAGATTGGGGAAAGAAGAAACCAGAAGAGGAGGCTGTGGCGAAGGACCACAGAGGTAGAAGGAAGGTGATTGAAAGAGGGAGATAGCAGGAGGCAGTGAGGGAGGTGAGACCTGAAGAGGATCTCCTGGGAGCCACTGCAGGAGCCTGCATGCAGGGAGAGCTTAAGTCGGAGGCGGGGGCTGGGCTCGGTGGCTCAGCATATAATCTCAGCACTTTGGGAAGCCGAGGTGAGTGGATTGCCTGAGTCTGCAGGTTCGAGACCAGCCTGAGCAAATTGGCGAGACCTCGTCTCTATAATAAGTTAAAAAAAAAATTAGCCAGGCATGATAGTGCACGCCTGTAGTTCTGGCTACTTGGAAGGCTGAGGCGGAAGGATTGTGGGAGCCCAGCAGGTCAATGCTGGGGTGGCCGTGAGCGTGTCACTGCACTCCAGCCTGGGCACCAGAGTGAGACTTTAACACACAAAAAAGAGTAGGAGGCAGGAAGTGGAGTGGCAGGTACAGAATGCGACCAGGCAGCTCAGGGACTGAGTGTGGCATTGAGGGCACCCTGGGGACTGGGCTGAAGGAGGGAACAGGCCTGCCTGGCCAGAAGGACAAATAGTAGGACCGAGCCGGAGGAAGGGGCTTCTGATGGTCTAGACCATTAAAAGAATGCCCCTGTGGTGGTGGAAGGCTGTCACCACCCTCTTGCTTCTCGGTGCTCTTCCAGAGCAGAGTTTCTGAAACTCAGCATTTGGAGCCAGATGATTCTGTGTGATGGGCTGTCCTGTGCACTGTAAGATGTTCAGCATTATCCCAGGCCCCTGCCCACTGAATGCCGGTAAGCACCCACTCTCAGCCAGTTGGGACAGTCAAAAATGTCTCCAAACTGCCAAATGTCTCCTGGGAACAAAATCACTCTAGTTCAGAACCCCTATTACAGAGAGTCAGAAATGAATTCTCTTTTTTTTTGAGTTGGAGTCTCACTCTGTCACCCAGACTGGAGTGCAGTGGCCGCTCCCAGCCACCGCAGCCTCTACCTGCTGGGCTCCGGCGAGCCTTCCACCTCAGTCTTCCAAGTAGCTGGAATTACAGGCATGCGCTACCACGCCCAGCTGATTTTTTTGATTTATTGTAGAGATGAGGTCTCTCACCAAGTTGCCCATGTGGGTCTTGAACCCGCGGGCTCAGGCAATCTACTCACCTCAGCCTCCCAAAGGCGCGGGATTACAGGCTGAGCCACTGAGCCCAGCCAGAAATGGATTCTTAACCTCACTGGCAAAAGAGAAAGGCTTCCATAGTTTTTCATCACATCAAGTTGGACAGTTTCAGGTAAGAGATTGAAGTAGGGATTAGATGTGGTGCAAGAGACCCCCCCCCCACCAGGAAAGCAGTGTAATATTCTCACAAGTGACAGTTCATTTCATGTCTGAATGGCAGAGGCATCAGTGCTCTTGATAAACAATCCTTTGCCTGGAAGATGCTCAGGGAACCAGTGGAAGGAGAGAGGACTTTGAAAAAGGAACTTGTGGCTAACTTCCCCTCTGGAGAACCAGGCTCTGAGTTTTTCCATCCTATCTCAGCCTCACATGCCCACTCAGAGGCATGGGGAGAGAGACCTCAGGGTAGGCCCCAGTGTTCGCTGACTATACAGACCAGAAGCGTGGGCAACATGGGCATACATGTGTATCCTCCCCACCCACTCAGGGCCACCACCATTTTCCCTGTTACAGCCTCTAGGGCAGAGAGGCTTCATTTGCTTTGCAACATCTCATGGGCTTCCTGGGTTGATGGGAATCCTCATTTTGCAGAAGGGAAAATTAGAGGAAGCCGTGTGAGCTTGGTTGGAGCTGGGCTGCAAACCCCTGCATTCTGCTAGCTCAGCAACCTCCTTTACCCCTTCTGTGGTAGAGTACAGGGCCTGGTATCACGAGGGATCCTTAACAGTTTGCAGGCTAGGACCATCAAGGGTCAGGCCTACCTGGGGCCCAGCTCCTCAGAGAGCTCAAGACCTGAGCCCATGAGTCCTCCCTCCTTATCCTCTAGGGACTCAGTATATTCAGCATGGTGATTACTCACTCTTCCAGGGCTCAGACTCATGCTGGACCATGCTGAGTTCTCGGTGGACGTTGAGCCTGGCTTCCAGGCCAGGCCCCACTCCCACTCCTTAGAGACAGAGGGTCTCTTAGCCCTTGGCCAGCACAAAGAACCCAGCAAGCTGGGGAGAGAAGGAACTTGTGGCTGGGTCCCTCATGGGTCACCTAGTCCTTTGCGCCATTTGTCCAGCCATCTCCCAAAAGCAGCACCACACCTGCCAGTGCATGTCCCAGCTGACAGCCACCTGGCCCAGCTTCCTCAGGGCCAAGTTGGCTCTGGAGCCTGCTGCCATCTAAGCCCAGCGTGCCAAGCCACAGCTGACCAGCCCCTGGGTCACATTGCCAACCACACAATCTGGGCACAGAGCATAGCATCTTACGTGGAAGAAGCCTTACAAACATGTCGCTTCCTCCATCCTCCCCATGGTCCTAAGGGGGCTAAAGCCCTTAAGCAGAGGCTTGCTGGGAAGAGGCACCAGGGTCGTCAGCCTGCCCTCCTGCTCCCCACCTTCATTTCTTTATTTCCTGCTGTTGCTTTAAAGAGGGGCATCATGATGGTTCATACAGATGCTGGCATGAAGCCACAGGCCTGATAGGGAAAGCAGTAGATGATTTCCTGACCTTCTCTTTAGCTGTTAAGCAAGCTATAAGTTGCCCTTCTCAGCCTCCAAGGTTGATCACTGAGAGAGGAAGGAAAGAAATTCTTCTGGCCAAGAAATAAAAGCCATTATTTCTGCAGCAGTGTGTTTAGCTCTGGGCCCAGAAGCGGCTGCTGTCTATAGAAGGACAAAGCCATCCAGATTTCTTGAAGGCAAACATCTGGTGGGGGTTCTTGGCATTGAAGAAGATGTATGATTTCCCTCAGGACCCTGGGAGCATTTCCTCTCCCCCATGCGGCTTTCCCAGGCCTCACCTCCATGTGGGAGCAGGAATGGGGTGCTCGAACTCCAGCCAGGCCTGGGTAGGTTGGACATTCTTTTGCTGTCTGCATGGCCTTCTTATCTGGTGTATATAACCGTTTAGATGCCTGTCGAGGTTGGGGAAGCCAGCAGCTCCAGAGCCCTCA